TTTTTTTTTTTTAACTCTACTGCAACTATCACCTACAACTATTAATTAATGTTTACTCCATCTTGGCAACAAAACAACAATGTTTAATCCCTCATAATAAGAACTCAGTGTGCTTATAAGTGTAATATTTATTCCTCTTTTGTTGTCAGTATTAACTTTTTCAGGGGATAATAAGAAACAAGTTTTCCTCTCTTTTCATGGATTTATAAACTCACTTGCTTTGAATTAAAATTGAGAGGCATATAATAAACTTGGGACTTAAGGCCAGAATCGCACTTGTCTTGACTGGGAGCTGGGGTTAGCCATGGCACAAGGAGGAATAACAGCTGAGCACCTACTATGTGCCAGCACCAGGCTAAGCCCTTTTATTTAATCTTCCAGTACATCTGTGAGGTAAGTACTATAGTCACCCACATTTTACTATGGAGCAAACTGACAGTTAGAGAAGGTCTATAATATGCCCGAGCTAGCAGGTGGCCAAGCTGGAGCCTGGGTTTTAACCAGCTCACTCTTCTTTGTGATCCGCGTGTCTGCAGTGAGATGAGTCACACCACCTTCACAATCTGAAGGAGTCAGCTCCGCTGCCCATCTACTGCAGGAGTCAAGTTTAACAATGAAAATCCCCAACTTGAACAGGAACAGGCTCTAAGCCAAACTCCTGCACTGTTGCCCTAACACTCCATGAGCTAAAGTGCAAGTGTTTGATCAGTAATCACTACATGAGAGCCCATACAAGTACACATTTTAGATGAAGCACAATAGTCTCAGAGAGTGGGTTCGGTTTTTCCAAATGTAAAATATAATTACTAGATATACCTTGAGATTGGGAGGATCTGGCTCAATCCAGATACCACAGAGAGCCCAAAAAATGTTATGGTACATGATCCAAAACGTCAGTAGGCAAAGTATGCGCTCTTTGAAAATTGATTTCCAAAATGATAGTTAACATTTCTTCTTAAATGTCTTGACAAGGTGTGTTGGTTTCCTGTCTTACAGGAGTGGATGTTGCAGCTCGGAACGCGGCAGGGTTAGTGAAGCCAACCGTCAGTATTAGTGTCAATGGGGAAAAGGTGAACATCAGAACAGAAAGTTCTTTCAAGAACACTGAGATCTCCTTCAAGCTGGGGGAAGAATTTGACGAAACCACAGCAGACAACCGGAAAGTGAAGGTCAGATGCAAATCTTTAGAAAAAAACTAGAAGGTGGTTAGGCATGGTTTACTCTATGTAATTTGATTTATTACCAAGTCAGTCTGGCCTTGTTCTGTCAATATCTGCACATCTCTGAACTTAATTAATCCTTTTGCTAACTATTCCGATGGTTAACAACAGGGCTAAAAAATTCCAATTGTTTTCACTTTTTCCCCCGATCTTTCTTTGTCATTATATAAAAGAGCATAGAGAAGGAACAATTAAGCACAAATAGCTTAGGTATTGTTTGTCTGGGAGAGAGTGCTAATTGACTAATCTCTTGAGACTTCTTCTAGCTTGACAGTATTAAATTAGGACAAGAACCAAAGTGAAGATTTTAAAGAAAAAAATTTCAAAATAGAAAGTAGATGTCTAGTCTTACGAAAGTGAGAATGTGGTGGATTGCTACTTCTAACTGATTTCTTTATGCATTTATAGAGCATCATAACATTAGACAGTGGCTCAATGATTCAGGTCCAAAAATGGCTTGGCAAAGAGACAACAATCAAAAGAAAAATTGCAGATGGAAAAATGGTAGTGGTAAGTTTTATCTACATTGAAATATTTATATGCTCCTATTTGACACATGCCTTTCAAGTTATTCAATTGTTTTTGTACCTCGAATTGAAAGTTGGGTGTGGGGACAGAGGGACAGGGTAATTTTAGCCTGTTATCTACCAACTCTAATAGATCCCCCTTTGCTTTTAGGAATGCATCATGAATAATATTGTCAGCACCAGAATCTATGAAAAGGTGTGAAGAAAAGGTCCACATCAGTGAAAACTTGTTCACTGACAGGGAGCTGATACTTGAAGAAGACATACCTTAGGGCCAGTGAGTTTTTAAAAATGTCACATTATAAATTTGCTCAATAAAAGCATCAAATCAAGTGCAGTTTTAGAGCTGTTTGATAATAAGGGTTAGGGAGAGTCTGATGAATTGATAAGGTGAGAAGCTACTTACCTGTGGTGTGATTGTAACAGCCCCAAAATCCCTTCTGTCTCTGCCCATCTGATTGCCACAGTCCTTGAGCTCCTGCCAATGGATCCATTCCATTTAGGTTCAGGAATTCTACAAAAGCCACGTGGAAGTGGCTCAAAGGGAGATATATTCTATCACTGGAACCTAATTTGGGCAGCACAGATTCCAAAAACCAACATTGCTTCACAGAAGTCTGGCCCTACTTAAAGCAGATAGATAGATAGATTAGGTGATGATGATAATGATGATGTTGATGATGAAGAAGATAGATACGTAAATGAATAGATAGATGATAGAAAGATAGCAAACAATAGAGGCTGCATATTATACAGTATGGTAGAGTTATTGTAAAAGTGGATTTTAAACAATTATTGCCTCGCTTCTCCATAAATCCATTTAAAATAATCAAGCTCATGCATCTGTCACCACTGTTTACAGCTTAGCCTTTGCAGAATGACATTTTATTAAATGCCAGTCCTGAATTTCTAAATGCCTAGTAGGAATACAATTGTTAGAGCTACATAAATTCTCCTAATAGTTTCACTAAATGCTATTTCTAGGAATGAGTGCTGTCAGGGCTTAGAGCAAGATAGAGTAATGGAGGTAAAATTAAAGTGTAAAGCCTGAAAACTGAGAGTCCCTGTAGCACTGGGAGGAGGAAAAGAGAAAGAGGAGGAATTATGTGAATAATCATGCTGTGCCTTAAATTGAAACACAGATAGTAGTTGATTAAACATAAGTCCTGAAAATCATGTTTAATGTGCACTAGAGTGGAATGCCCATGTAATTTTATAGCCAGGCCCCTTGAGATTTTAGTACCCCAGCATTTTTTTAATGACTAAAATAATACGAAATTTGACTAGGTCCTTATTTGTTGACACACGTTAACTGCTTGCTTCCTACCCAACACCCCTTGTTCTCACAATAATTATTAACTGCTGTTGTACTGGTTCTTTGTCAAGCAGGAGGTTATAACTCCAGGGTTGCAAGGAAAACCTATGAGTTTGTTTTACAGAAAGAATGGATGTCCTTAAAAAAGTTGCAACTAACTCCTGATGCCCGGAAGTCTGGTTACTCAAAGTGTTATCTGAGACAAAGAGCAACACAGACTTCTCCCTTTGGTTCCCTAAAATTCCACCACCACCCTTATTCCCTAGCCACATAAAAGCTCCCTGCTTCATGTCTTGGGTAAAATGGATCTGAGAGATTTTACTCTCCTGGCTTCTTGCTTTGGTCAAATCAAACAAACCTCTGTCTTTCTCCAAGCACCTCTGTCACAGTTTGGCTTTAGCTGCACATCAGGCATGTGAGCCTAAATTTGGGGTTCCGCAAAAATTCGTCATCCAAACTGGGTGACAAGTTAAAAGTGAAAAGGGGAACTATTAAGAGTTACACCTGGACAGCAGGCATAAACTGGGACTGTTCTAGGCAAACTGGGGTTATGGTCACCTTAGAAAGGAAATTAAAGGGTAATAAACAAAAGGACTCAAGTATGGGGTTGGGGCATGAACTGAATCCCTTGCCAAGGAAAGGACCTAGGTCCTGTCACATTGAACCCTGAAGACAGCTGGGCATTTAGCTGTGTACTGGAAGTGACTGGCTTGGTGCTAGCACACAGCTGCTGCACACGGGCAGCTTAACCATATTAAATTATAAGACAACAAGAACCAAAGTGAGGATATTTTTCTTGTCTTGACCTGTCCTTCCCCTTCCTAAAGGACTCAAGTATACAAAATGTAACCATGGTTGCCCTGTAGAAGTCAGATTAAAATAATTTGTTTTGAACCTCCTCAATAGTATTTAATTTTCATACTTCATGCGCAAAAATGCAATAACTGTAAATGAACATGCTTTTCTTCACTGGCTATAAAAAGACAACTGATTATCCCAAAGATAGTAGCCCAAATTAGATGAACTATCAGGATAAAGTATCAGGACATAAACTAAGTCCAAATTATACACTCTTATGATTTCTATCTTGAAGATTTAGAGGAAAAATATGATCTATTCATTTTGGAGTTTGGTGTCCTGGCCCTGTGTCCTTTTTCCAGGAAGGTGGCGAGGGACCATTTAACCACCAGTTTAACCACCACTGATAGAACGGGACTTGTCTGTTGCCCCAGAAACACATGCAGTGAAGTGGAACAGGGTTTGAGGACCAGAGATAAACTTGAACCCTGCTTCTGCCATTGGCAGCTATGTGAACATGTGTGAGCTGCTTAATCTCTTTAGTTTTCTGCTTTGCAAAATAGAGACTTAGCTACTTTTCAGGGTTGTGGTGAGGGTAAATGAGACCTTATAAAAAGGATCAACACGGCAATCCCTCAGGACTTCTCCTTCTCCCCAGATCCCCTTCCCAGATTACAGGGTGATGAGAATGCAGAGAGTAGGAACAATGTAATCGGCGAGCATGTGCACTTGAACAGGGAGCAGAAAAGGCCAGAGCTTGAGTGTCTCAGCAGAGGTAAGTTTAGGGCAGAGTCTTGAAGCAACTGATTATAAATGGGCTTTGTGGAAAAGGAGTAGGAAAATAGATTCTGGTTTGCTTTGTAAAACAGAGTTCAGATTTCAGTAGAGTTTATTAAAAATAATACATTTCAATATATGTTACAAAGCAATTTCACAAAAGTTATTTTTTTTTTTTTTTTGAGACAGAGTCTCACTGTGTTGCCTGGGCTAGAGTGCCGTGGCGTCATCCTAGCTCACAGCAACCTCACACTCCTGGGCTCAAGCGATCCTCCTGCCTCAGCCTCCCGAGTAGCTGGGACTACAAGCATGCGCCACCATGCCCGGCTAATTTTTTTCTATGTATTTTTAGTTGTCCAATTAATTTCTTTCTAATTTTAGTAGAGACGGGGTCTCGCTCTTGTTCAGGCTGGTTTTGAACTCCTGAGCTCAAACAATCTGCCCACCTCAGCCTCCCAGACAGCTAGGATTACAGGCGTGAGCCACTGCGCCCAGCCTAAAGTTATCTTTCTTGATCCTCAAAACAATCAATATTTTACAAATGATAAAACTGCAACCCAGATGCCATCCCTCTACTAAGTGGTAAAGTTAGATGAGAACTTACTCCAGATTCACTATAGCATTCATTTTACATTAAGAAATAATGTCAGTGGCCGGGCATGGTGGCTCATGCCTATAATCTTAGCCCTCTGGGAGGCCAAGGTGGGAGGAGTGCTTGAGGTAAGGAGTTCAAGACCAGCCTGAGCAAGAGTGAGACGCTGTCTCTACCTAAAATAGAAAAAGTTAGCCAGGTGTATTGGTTCACACCTGTAGTCCCAGCTACTTGGGAGGCTAAGGGCAGGAGGATCACTTGAGCTTAGGGGTTTGAGGTTAGAGCTAGCTATGATGATGTCACTGCACTCTACCCAGGGTGACAGAGTAAGACTCTCTCTCAAAAAAAAAAAAAAAACAGAATGTCAGGATTCTATGTACCATGATTTGAATGCAAATATGACAGAGATGGTTAATTATGCACCAGAAATCCGGGATTGTCCTTCATAGCACAGTGGTGTTGCTGGAAAGAGCCTGCAGCCAGGCACTACACTGCCCATTCCACCTGCACCCCCACCATGGCACCTTATGACTACTTTTTTTGCATTGAAATCTGAGTGGAAGTGACATGGGCCATGTCTGAGTCAAGGTGACCTGTGCCCACCTGTTTGGAGGACGGGACTCTGAAACCTGAGGGGGTGGGATGGGCACAAGATGGATTATCCAAGGCCTCTGAGTCACCTCACGGAGACAAGCTACCCACAGACCAGGAGCTCCCACACTGGACTGAACATTGAGCAAGAAATAAACTTCTGGGTGAAGCCACTGAAATCTTGGAGTTTATTGCAGCAATTAGTGTTACTCTGAGTCAGTGTGAAATTTAACAGATTTCATTTGACATTCTATCTTCAGTCACGAGCATGCTATAAGCTAGAAATTAGCTTCAAAACTAGTTTTTAATTGTTTGAGGGAATAAGGGATGGATTGGCATAAATAAAACACAGTTTAAACACGAATTTAATTGATGTTCTGATCTAACTTTACCTAGTCTGATCTCTCTCTATACATAAAAAGTTCATATGTAAATTACACTTCTCTCAAAGCCTTTATACCATCTCAATAGTTGAAAAAATTCTATAAGATACAATCAAGAAAATAGGAAACACAATAAGCTACCTGGATAACACATGATTAGAAAATCACGTGCATTTTTTAGTTTATTTTGTTCCTTATAAAATCAAGAGAGACACATATACACGCATTTTCCACTGTTTTGCAAGTAAATTATGCTTTAGGGTTTTTTTTTTTCTGCTACCAGCGATATGGAGCAGATGGCTGAGTCCTAGGAAGTGTCTCCTACAGCTATTTGTGCTAAAGCCTGAAAGTGCAACCTATTTGGATGTATTTGGAAAGTATTAAAATCACTTGAAAAGTGTTAATATCACTTTTCCCTCTAAGAGGAAATGCAAATGGAGTAAGATAACTGTGGAAAGCTCCATATATGCTATAATGGCCAGAGAAAGAAATTGAAATGCTGAAATCCTTCTTTTATTCCCTCCCCAGTGAGTAACTTCAATTCTCAGGTGTTTTATTAGGAATAATGATGTGAGATCTTAGACTAGCCTTTGGAAAAGAGGCCAGGTGTGTTAGATTCTAGCAAAAAACAATGCTAATTGCATTGTTTAGAGAAATCACCAACTACTTTTTCCATCTCTTTATTCAACAAAAGAAAAGCTATTAACTACCTTTGGGGCAGCATAAATACAACTGTTACTATAGTA